CCTAAGGAACAGAAGCCGGTTGCGGCGGGCGGGGGGAAGCGCACACGCAGTCGATCCCCCGTCGGCCACACCGCCGAAGAAACCCGCCACGCGTTCCACGCGAATTCGTACGCCGACACCACCTTCCCGCTCGCTAAATTCTGCGGGTGCGGAGGCGACATCTCCCACTCGTCCCCTCACCGCCGTATTGCCCGCCCCGCCACCGTCGTGCGATGACACGAGGAAGACGGAGAAGGATATTTGGAGCCAAGTGGAGCCCTTCCAGCGCCGAACAGCGGCGAAGGATTTCGACAGCAAACATATGCTGAAATTCATCACGTGGAATGTTGCTGGCCTGCGTGGGCTGCTGCGGAAGGATGGCCAGGCGATCCAACGACTGCTCGAGGAGGAGAGGCCGGACGCGTTGTGTCTGCAGGAAACGAAGCTGAACCCGGACGATCCACAAAATGGAAAGTTGGGCGAGGTGCCAGGGTATTGCTTCGTCGACCACGTCTGCCGCGCAAAGAAGGGGTACTCTGGCACACGGACGTACATCAAAAATACGGCGGCCGCGGAGTGGAAGACGGTCACCGTAAAGGGATTTGGCACTTTGAAAAGCCCGCAGGATGTCGGTCATAGTGACGGGGATGAGGAGGGACGCGTTCTCACCACGTACTTTGGGACGCAAGGAAAGGGCAGCGAGACATTTGCCCTGGCGCTGGTGAATACATACATTCCCAACAGTGGGATGTCGCTGGAGCGCCTCCCGTACCGCTGCCAGAAGTTTGATTTGCGGATCCGGCAACATTTATGCGCCTTGGGACGCTCTTACAACCACGGCAAGGAGGAGGGCGACGCCCCGTCACTCGCAGGGTTCATCTGGGCAGGCGACCTGAATGTCGCCGAGCGTGACTACGACCGTTACTTTGCCGGCTCCTACAAGGCGATGCAGAAGTGCAGCGGCTTCACGCCGGAGGAACGCGCCTCGTTCCGTGAAACACTGCGGGTGGCAAATGCGGTGGACACCTTCCGTGCGTTGTACCCAAAGGCGGCACCCGTTTACACATTTTGGTCTGCGCGCATCAACGGCAGGGCCCGGGGCCTCGGTTGGCGGCTGGACTACTTCGTGGTCTCCGCCGCGTTGGCCCGCCACGTCGTGGACTGCTTCACGATGCCCCACGTGATGGGGAGTGATCACTGCCCGCTGCAGATGTGGCTGCGCAGGTGAACGCAACACGGAGGGATAGGCGTGACCGCCGGATGTGCAGCGTGGACGTAATTGGACGCCGGGGGACAAACGTAATCATACATATATATGTGTACAAGAAACAAAAGCAACAAATAAAGAAAAGAAAATGCGTGCGACGAAAAAAAAAATGAAGGGAAAAAGAAGGAAAAAAAAAGAAATAGAAAAACAACAACAGCCGCTACGTCATGTTGCCTCTGTAAGGCTCTTTCAAAGGCCCATGAGGGATGTTTGAGCGCCCGACGTCTCTGTTAAGTGGTGCTTTTTTCACCGCTGAATTATTTTATTTTTTGCCTTTTGTGTGCGTCTTTTGTCGTTCTTTTTTTTTTGTTTTCATCTTCTTGCCGGCCGTCCGACATTCCCTTCTCCTCTTACTCTTCCCCCCCCTTTTTTTTTCTTTTTTCCTCCTGTCAGTGAAAAGCGACGCAAAAACTAAGCCATCCCCCTTCTAGACACTCCGCTACACAACCACAGCACACATACACACCGAGCAAGACAACGAGAGAGAGAGTTTGTGTGATAAGAAGCTGCACGAGAGACTGCGCGTGTGCATCTGCAATGTTTACTCCCACAAGGACTCTTTTATCCGCCGTTTTCGCCACTTCGACTCTTTGGGCGGCGTCGCGGTCAACTCGTGTGGAAAAGAAAAACAAGAAGGCCCCAGAACTGACATCCGCACGTGATGGTGGGGCCACGGCTGTGGCGAAGCCGCATGTGGACGTCTTCACAACGATGAAGGATTCTCTTGATAATATTTTGGGTGGAGCTGCTGTGCCTCGTGACGCTGGGCCGGTGGCAGACTGCAGGGCACATGAAGAAGAGACAGCTCCGCCCACAGAAGCAGAGACGTTCCCGAAGAACGAGGAGACGAACATCGAGGAGGAAAAAGTAGCCGCAAAACATGAAATGCCCTCCTACTACAAGCCGATGAACACGCACGAGCAAATTTACGATGCCGAGGTGGCCCAACGGCTGTGCGTCGCGGCTGCCTCACGACATTTTCGCTCCCCAGTGTGGTCAACAAGGACGGCCTTTGCGCGATTCGGCTACACCGTGAAGGATGGCGAAGAAGGGGTGGATGTCTCGACCATGATGCAAACCGTCACATTGTACAACCTCGAACAGACAAGTGCCCCGGATGCGTCAGTTTCCGATTCCCTGAAATGCAGCGGGAAAACACTGCCGGAATGGCGTAACATGCCACTGAGTGCCGCAGGGCGCCCGCATTCACGGCATGTTCAACGCACGCTTCAAGAACATCCCTCGTATGCGCAGTACACGTCACCCTACTGGATCACTGAGGAGGAGGCGGTTATTCTTGGCACGGCGGTGCGGCCCTCACAGAGAGGGTGTGGGATTCTCATAAAAAGACCTTCAGCTGCAGCCCGACTGCCGGTCTCGGGTGAAAAAGAAAGTCGTCCAGTGTCTCAGGAGTCCACTTCTCGGTCGGACGAGGATTTTTTCATGTTGTACAACGCCGCGCAGCTGGAGGCTCCTGAGTTGGTGACACGTGAGACATGTCCCCCTCTTCTTTTTCTCAGCGTGGATGGTCATCGGTACAATGTTGTCCTCAGCTTGTACATGCGGAAGTACTGCCAAAAGTATAACTTAAATATGCAACCAATGGTCGTCTTCATTACAACCTCGCGACTCCGTAGTCTTGGCGGGGATCTGCGTCCCATGGAGAATGATGTGCCGCCCTTCACATGTGTCATGAATGACGAGATTGTTTCATTTCATCACAGTGAACACACCACAATATCAGAGAAGTTGTTGCAAAAGGCAACGGCTCTTCGGCGCGAACGATTTGATCGTGCCCCGGCGTCTAATGTATAATGTACGTTAGGCACAGATGGAACAGGGCAGAAACAGAGAGCTGCCAATATTCCAATTCTTCTTCACATCACATATAACTGGGCATTAGAGGAGAAAGTGAGAGAGACACTTTTTTCTGTCCCGTTTCTTTTTTTTTATTACAAAAATCCCACTTTGCCAGCGCATAGGTTTGGGTTGTGTCATATCAATTCCTTTTTTATTTTTATTTTTTAATTTTTACTTTTGGTTGGGGATCTGTCTGTGTCTGCGAGTGTGTGCGTGTGTGGGGGGACAAATAAACGACACGGGTATCTTTCCGGCAACCGAGAAATCTCCGTGCTTCTTAAATGAGGGGAAGTGTTGCTGACTGGACTGATACGAGTGTGTCGAGGGGATGGGGAAGGGGGCGACATGTGATTTCACTCTTTTTATGTTTATTTATTTATTTATTTTATTTATTTTATTTATTTATTTATTTATTTATTTTTTTGTGTTTGTTTGTTTGTGGTCGCGATGTTGTTGGGTTTACTTCTTTTGATGTACGTTTGTTTCTTTTTTGTTCTTTTTTTTTTTTATTTTTTATTTCCTTGTTTCCCCTTGAATGACATGTCGTCTTCACTTTTTCCCCCATTGTGGTGGTGCACTAGTGGTGGTAGTGGGGGGAACAGAAAGAACGTACATGCCGGACATCACGACGCCGTTTCTTCTGACGGTGCGAGGCGGTGATCGCATGCGTCTGCGAGGGAACCACCACGAGCCGCAGTCCCTTTCTTTTGTCACGGCACTGACCGACGTGGTGTTCACACGGCGCCTTGCGGCGACCACATCGGCCCCAGTGACTGTGTCACTTGTCGCGCACTGCGACGCGGCGGGCGAGGAAAAAATCAACGGTCGCTGCTTTACAATCGCCACTCATTCTTTTGCCACACCAGCAGTTGCCAATTTATCCGAAGAGAGGGAGGAGGAGGAGGCGGCCGTGGTGGTGCTTCGCTCACCGATTGTGTTGACCTCGTCGGGTCCTGTTCACTCGCTGGAGGTGCGGTGCGCAGAGACGAAGCGCGGGGGCCCATCACGGGGCCACACCACCGCTGACGCTAAATTCTACGCGGCCACTATGCATGGAATGCAGCGGACTGCTCTAACAAGGGCACAGGTGAATTTACTGCGCGCTGCTGATAACAAGACGAGACGAAAATGAAGGACCAATTTTTTATTATTTCCTGTTTGTTTCTTTCTACTTGTTGGAATGCGGCGGTTAAGTTGAAGGAAGGAAGGAGGGGAAGAAAAAAAAAGAAAATCCAATACAAAGAGAGGGAGGGATAGGCGAATAAAAACTAATGCGGGGACCCGTCCATCATAATTTCCTCATTGTAACTTCACCGCACAACGGCTGGGGAAGGGGGGGGGGGGTCGTAACGACGGTGGCACCATCGTCTTTACGGCATTTTTCTGTGGGCGCTTTCTTCATTATTAATGTTGTTGTTTCTTCGTGAATGAACCGCCTTTTTTATTTTTTACTATTTATTTATTTATGCATACATGCATGTTTGCGTTTTGGGTAACCGCAACGGATAATGGGGGAGTTATGAGAAGAGAGGGACGTATTAGTGCAGACAGGAGAGAAGACTCGTCAAAACAATAGAAAGACAACACACACAGAGAAGGTGCGGTTGTTGAGATCTGCTACAGCAGCTGCTGCACATTATTATTAACGACGACGACAATGATGATGATGCGGCCTGACGCTGGAAGACGGGGAGATCGCCATGAGGTGACACGTAGTCAATGGGAGATGCATAACTCCGTCATCACGGATGACGCGTTTTTATCCCCCAACATGGAGCTCATGGAGGAGCTGCACAAAACACAGCCGTGGAAGAAGTCACCGCGCTATTTCCAACGCGTGAAGGTTTCTGTTCTCGCGGCGCTGCAGATGATGATCCACGCGAAACGTGGAAGCCCCAACGTGACGTGCTCCAACGGCAGTGGCGTTGCTGACTCTTCTGCGGCATCCATGCGAAATGAGCCGAGCCGCGAGAATTGGTTTGAGGTGATGGGTCTCATGCTGGGCCACTTTAACGAGGATGAAATGATTGTCACGAGTGCCTTTGCTCTCCCAGTCGATGCCTCCGAGGTGGAGTGTTCCATGAATGACGCCTCCCAGTTGTACATGCTTGACTTCCTTCAGTACCATCAGCGCGGCGGGACGCAGGAAGGCTGCATCGGGTGGTACCACAGCCACCCTGGCTACACCTGTTTCCTTTCTGGCACAGATGTTAACACGCAGCAGCTTGGACAAACTGCACAAGACCCGTGGCTGGCTATTGTCGTTGACCCTGTGCGCACCATCTCGACTGGCAAGTTGGATATGAAGGCTTTTCGTACATTTCCAGAGAACTACGTGGCAGAGCAACAGGGGACAAGTCAACACACACAAGGAAAGCATTGGGAAGGGTCCACGACATCTACGTGGGTGCCTTCTGAGCGTATCAGGGAGTACGGAGTACATGCACACCGCTACTATGAGCTGCCCATTACTCTCGTGCGTAGCAAAGACGATGAGGCACAATTGGAGTGTTTGTGGTCGCGTTACTGGGCACTGACATTCTGTTCCAACCCCCTCACTGCGAATCGAAAGCTCATGACAAAACAGATCCACCAATTGGCTGAAGTGCTTGAAAGTGGCGTGGCAAGTCGACATCAAACGATGGTGAAGGGGGATGGGTATTTGCCTGGTCATAAATTAGGGAGTCAGCACCAACGTAAAGGCGGTGGTGCGGAGGATGACGAGACACCCGATGGTGTTGAAGCGTTTAAGCAAAGGAGCCTTCATGTGCGTTACTTGACGTCTTCTTTGGCATCAGAGGCGGCGTCGGGGGGAACACTGCTGGTGGTCAAAAATTCCGTCTTTCGAGCATGATTTTTCTTCTGCTTTCTTCTCTCTTTGTTGGTGCTGTAGCGGCTGAATGACATCCATATATATATATATATATATTGTGTATGTGTCTCTTTTGCAAGCGGAAGCCAGTGACGTGAAAGGAAGATTGCGGGGACGGCACCTGCTGCCAGGGCGGATTGGGTGCGTGTTGGGGTGTAATGTGGAGGAGAAAACCACCACGGCGCCCCGTGTCTTCTTCCAAACTTTTTCCTTTTTTTTCTTATGTGCCGGCGGTTCCTTTTTTTCCTCTTTTTTTTCTTCTCTTTCTTCTCTTTTCATCCAGTGAGACGCCGCCGTCAGTGGCCCTATCCGAAAAAATATACACAGAACCAGAGAGAGAGAGGGAGCTGCAGGCGGCGGAGAAAAGTAGCAGGAGGGTGAAGCCCACAGCTCCACAAGAGGGAAGAAACGGAGGAATTCCACCGTAACTCCATATGCGTAGAGGGGCACGTGTGTGTGGCATCGCGACAACTTCGTCGTTTCTGCACCGTGTGATTTTTTTGTGGTGCAACGCGATGCAACACCGTTGCCACACGTCAAGTTACACTTCCGCCACCACCACCAACACCACCACGGTTTCCACTGACAGCAATGCAGGGAGAAGTCATGATGCCAAGGGCTCGGTGCAGTCGCCGATGCCGTACAAGTCAACACACAAGGGCAGCGGCAAAGCAGCATCACCTCTACGAAATTGGGGCTGCGACAACCACGCAGCGAATGATACTGCCGCCCCTTCCTCATCCTTACTGCACGCTGGTGTTTCTGCTGCTGGTGCTCACGCTGAGGCGAATGGCAGCGAGGCGTCTGCGCGACAAGAGAACCTTGCGGCGTCACGTTCGTCATGTACGGAGGACGCCGGTGTAGTCTCCAGCCGCCCGCTCTCTCCGTTGCAGCGCCGACAACTTCTCTTCCGGCATAAAGCGGCCTTCACACTCACACCGCAGGCACTCCGTCGTGTCAAGTACCTGCTGAAGCGGTGTCACGAAGATCCAGAACATCACCACCATCCAAAAATGCCCGATGGGATTCGTATTGGTGTAAGTCGCCGTGGCTGCAGTGGGTATAGCTACACAGTGAAATATCACTACCCGGAGGATGAAAAGATGCCACCAAAGGAGACGGACAAGCAAGACACGAGGAGGAGTCATGGTAACAACGGTGATACCAGCAGCGCAACTGGGATGCATACAGGAGACGTGGTGGTTTTGCAGGACGGTGTGAAGGTGGTGGTTGATAGCAATGCACTCTTTTATGTTATCGGGACGGAGATGGATTACGTTACGAGGAGTGTGGAGGAAAAGTTTACCTTTCGCAACCCAAACCAAAAGTATTCGTGTGGTTGTGAGGAAAGTTTTATGCCTTTTGATTTGGATGAACAGGAGGCGAAGTAAAAAAAAAAAAAGAAAAAATATAAAAATAAATGACACTAACAAAAACGACAACGAAGAGACAACAGGGATGTTGTGGGGGTGTACTTTGCATTTGCCCTCCGCCATTCTCTCTTCAACTGAATGGAAAAGAAAAAAGAAAAAAGGGAAAGACTAAGTCATGGAACGATGCGATGTGAAATGTATAAACGAGTGAGTGAATAAATACCCCTTTCTTTCTTTCTTTCTTTTTTTTTTTTTTTGTTGTTGTGGTGGCGGTGGTGAATAGGCAGGAGGGAGTTCCTTTCGTTTTATTGTGAGCCTTCATTTTTCATTTTTGTTCTTTTTTTATTTACTTTTTAATTTTTTTTTTGCAGCTGCGCGTAGGGGGGTTCGTGGCTGCGACCAGGCGGTGTCGCGGATGGTGTTTTTTATTAGAGTCGCGGCAAATGTGCGCGGGGGCAATCGCAACATTCGTTTGCGGTTTTCGTCGCACCCGACGTTGTGCGAATTGGCCTGTGCGACGGAGTCGTACTTCATGACGGCTGTCCCGCAGGGGCAGTCATCCTTTCAGCTGGACGCGATGATGTTGTTTGATGAGTTTGCCCTCCGCTGGGTGGAGCTGTACAGTGCCGCGCAGCTTTCAACCGACTGTCAGGTGTACGCCTTTGCGAAGCGCGGAATGGGCCGCCCCGTGCAGGACCGGCCGCCACGACCGGAAATGAGCCGAAGGAGCGTCCGTGCGGACAGGGAGGTGATCCCGCCGCCAGGCAAAACCGTGGCGTGCATCGCATCCTTAAAAGATGGCACTTCGCTGTTTTCCTTTTCTCTCGATGCCACGGAGGATGGGGTGTTAACTGACATCGGCGAAAGTGCTGCGGACGAGGAGGACGCCTGTCGTTGCCGGCGCTGTGCGCCCATCACGGGCTCTCTGGACGCTTTGGGGAGACACAACGCACGGCATGGCGATCGAATCCGCACCGTTTTTGATGCGCTCGACGCGCAGCAGAAGGGTTATTTGCTGTTCACAGACCTGAAACGCGCTGTAGATGCGCAGCGTAGGGTCTTTATAAACTATTCCGCGAAGACGCTTATGGCACTGGCGGATCAGGACGAGGATGGGCGTGTGTCCTACAAGGAGTGGGCGAGTTTTGCCGTCTCGCACCCGGCGGTGGTGGACGCGTTTTTTGATGCCTTTGCCCAACTGTCGAGACGACGTGCGCCGGGCGGGAGTCGTGCTCACGCACCGCAAGCATCATGGTCGTCTCTGACGACTTGTCCTCTGTCTATGGAGGCATATGAGCGGTCAAGGGCCGTATTAACGCACGAAGAGGCACGGCTGGCAGCAGATGCAGTGAGACTTAAAGCACTGCGAGATGCTTGGGAAAAGAGCGGTGTGGGAAGGAGAAAGAGAAGAGGCACAACAACGGAGAGTACCCGTCAGTCATGGCGCGTGCACTCCGTCCTTTTGTACTGACAAGCGATTACTTTATGAAAAATATAATATTTAACTTTTTCCTCCCTCCCGGCGGGCACAAACACACACACACACAGAGAGAGAGAGAGAGAGAGAGAGGAGAGAGAAGATGAGTCCAACACGATACTGCGTGTGGTTTAGTTTTAAATATATATTTGTAATGGTTATATATAAATATATGCAGTTTCCATTTGCACTTGGAGACGGTGTATGAGGAATGCACATTGAATGGCTTTTTCTTTTTTTTTTTTTTGTCTTTTTAAATAGGCCGAAAAAAGCCACAAAAACACACAGAAAGAGACACACAAATCCATACGCACACTTATCTACTCCCTTATTATTATTATTATTATTATTGTTATCGATTGATGTCCAAACGGCTTTCATCCTACACTGTGGGGCAGCGACCTCGACGGCAGTATATTAACAAGGTGACTGAGTTTTTTTTTCGTGAATTAGACAGGGGAATAGGCTCGCCGTATGTCGTACTGTCAACAGGGGTGTTGCTCGCTCTGGTGGGATGGAAGGTGATGGTGTATTACGTGGAGCCTAACCGGAAGATAGATGCGGTATGGCGGCGACCGCAATCACGCGTGCCGATGAGTGATTCACACAACGTTTTCTGGGGCTTTAACATTGGCAGTGACGGATGGAGGGGCCTCCCGACGGGCCGCCATCTCGCAGAGACAATGACGGAGAGTGCCGAAGGGGCGCTGCGACGGCCCAGGCTTGTATACAGCGAGGATAGCGAGGTGCTCGGCCCCCGTGGGGAGAGTCTCAGCGTGGCGTGTATGGAGCTGCCGGAGTATGACACGCGGATTGGGAATGATGTTGTGTACCGCAGCGTGCATTACGTTCACGGCGCCACACGCGAGAAGGTCATGACCCCCACGAACGTTGAAACAGGAGAAGTCGCGGCAGCGGATTTATCAGCCCAGGCAAAAAATGGGGAAGTGAGAGCTGCGGGAGGTCAACCTGTTCCAGCCCCGGCAAAGGCACCTTTGGAGGAAAAGGCGACGGAGGAGGATAATTCATTGTATTTTTCCCGCATGCCGACACGTGGGTTGTCTACGATCCATGGCATGACAAAATGCAGAGCGATTACGTCATTAAATAACTGCGTGCCTTATGCTGGGCATATTGAGAGCGAGTATGCACGAAAGATGATGTTGACGCTTGGGCCTGTTCATATTTTGCGGGACATTGCAAAGACCACCTTTCCCTTGCGTTTCACGACTGCGAAGGAGGCCCCTGTGTCAGCGCTTGTGTGTGGTTTGCATAGCGGTGAGATCCCACGGTGGTTGAGTACGGCCTTTCCAAATTTTCAAGTGGATGTCGTCGAACGTGACGGCACCCTTGCACGCATTTGCCGTCGTTTCCTGGGCTTTCAGGAGTCCAATAATCTTCACTTGTATCTTGCGGAACCCGTTGAATTTCTCCGCCGCACTGCCGTGCCTAAAATCGGTCGGCGCTATGATCTTATCATGTTGGATCTCATGGATGGGGCGGGACGGTTGAACACACAGTACGGCCGTCTGGAGTTCATTAACAGCGTGCGTAATAGTTTGAGTGGCTCCGGCTGCGTCGTTGTGTCGCTTCCAAACCGGGATGGGGCGTTTTTGTACAACATCGTTCAGAACTGGCGATTGGCCTTTGCGGGCCGCACGGTGATTCTCGTGCACTGCGTCACGTCGCCGCAGACATTACTTATGACATTTCAGGACGACGCGACACGTGGAAAGGCAAACTTTGGGACGGTTGCAAATGTCGACGAGTTCAAGGACCTGCTGCGCACCTCCCTTGCACACTACGGCTCGTGGCGCGTGCCGTTCGATCTCACCGGCGAGGTGTCGGAAGGGACATTTCGCGTGCTACGCCCCGGCACGGTGTACTCCGTCGTGGCGTATCTGCCAGCCGGTCACCCGCAGCTAAAAGACATGGCGGCTGCGGAAACTGCTGCGGGGCGTGGCGGTTGGGGGGCGTGGCTGCGGCGGTGGACGGCCACGTGGCTCACGCCCTCACAACGTGCGGATCTTCGGGCCATGAGCAAATAATGGGGTGGAGTGGATGGAAAATAGCGATGGGAACACTCCGAGAGAAGAGGAAAGAAAAGTGTGTGTGTTTGTGTGCGTGGGTTTCTGTTGGTTGTTGGGTGTTCTCTTTTTGATTTTGTTTTGTGCGATGTTGTCTTCGTGTTTCTCCTTCTCTCCCTTTCTTTCTTTCTTTTTCTTTCTTTTTACCCGCTTTGTGTGTGCGGAGGGTGTAGGAGAGGTGTAGCGGGATATCAACACGAACAACAAATAAAAAGAAGAAAAACGAAAACAACGAAACAGAACAAAACCAAAAAAAAAAAGAAAAGAAAAGGAAGGGGAGTTTTATTTCCGTCACGCTACTCGCTTCTCTCCCCCTCTCACTTTCTCTATCTCTGAGTGTGTGTGTGTGTGTGTGTGGGAGGCCGAGGGGTGGAGGGAGAGGAACAAACACACACACACACACAGAGAGAGAGAGAGAGAAAGAGAGAGATTACCTCCTCGCTGCTCCCCCCCTCCCTCACTGGAGGCGTGTGTGTGTGTGTTTGAGCCACGATGTTTGGCGTGACGGTGCTGGCCGTGACGAAAGTCGTCGTTGCTATCTGCATCGGTGCTTTTGCAAGCCAACGGATTCCGAATGCATCTGTGACCGTCCGCGACTTTACGTTTGTGATTGCCAACATTTTGCTGCCGTGTCTTACGTTTTATAACGTCGCATCGTCCGTCAATGCGGAGTTACTCATCCGCTGCTCCGTTCTCTTCCTTTTCTCGCTGTTTGTCATTGGGAGTGGGCTGCTTTGCGGCACAGCGGCATCGAAGTTAATGTTCCGCGTGAGTTGCAGCGGGATCCCTCACGGGCTACGGGACTCCCTGCGTTACACACTCATCTACCAGGACGCCGAGGGACGTCACGTAAAACGTGCGGCGCGAGGTCGACGGCACTCGCCATCACTCAAACCGGTGGTGTGCGTTCTGGTGAGTGGCGCATTGGAGACGCAGCAAGTGGAGCCGGAGGAGGTGCTGCCGCTTCTTGAACCACCCGGTGTGGAATACGAGGAGCAGCCCTTTTACCAATACGCATCGCTGATTGCATGCTCCCTGCAGAACACTGTCACCCTCCCCTTGTCGCTGTTACAAGCACTGGCCGAGTCACTAGCGTGGATTGATCTCGCTGCAGGCACGTCGTTTATCTTCATTTACAGTCTGTCCACTACCGCGTCTCTCTGGGGCTTCGGGCCAGCGTTGGTTGATCGTGCCCAGAAGGAAACGAATAAGCGACGGAAGATACGTGAGTTGCTGGAGCTCCACAAGAAACTGCAGGGGTGCTGCGATGTCGCCACACAAACGGAGGTGAATGAGGAATTCTCATTAATAGCATCACCAATTGGGTTGAATGCGCCCCCCTTTTTAAGCGGAAAACAACCCAATGCGAAATTCCTGTCCACGATTCGAGAAGCCGCATCCAAAAAGATTCTCCACGAAGAAGAGGGAGAAAAGAATGCCTCTAAGATGATGGCTGCAGCGACCGCACACAGCACCGGCGAGCAGACGGATATTCCGCCAGGCGCATGGCGCTGGTGCCTTGCCGCAGCCCCGGCCACGGTTGAAACTTTCCATTATAACTGGAAGGAACGTGGCCTCATTAGGGTGATGTACGCACGCGACTTTGAAGATGAGGCCGAGGCGGAACGTCAAAAAAGAAATACCTTTTTTCCTTTTTTGCGTGCTTTAAAGAATATTGGCGTGCGGCTCTTCAAGACGGTTGCTTTTACATCCTTAATTGCTGGCTTAGTTGTTGGTTTGATCCCGCCGCTGCGATGGCTGCTGTTTGAGGGGCCGCTTTCGATGTTAACAGACTCCATCGCTCTTGTGGCACAGGGGTCTATTCCTTCCTCGCTACTGTTGTTGGGCGCCAATCTCGTGGGGAGCACAAGTTTGACAGCACCGGCGCCGGAGGTTCGGCTTCGCGAGGCTGAGCAAAACACGGAATTTCCGCTTGATGACACGTCTGCGGATCCAAAGGACACGGAGGATTACAACGAGCGACATGAAGTGATTGAGTTTGACGAGCACGCGTCGTTTACGTTGATGAGTCTGCAGCAGCAGCTGCAACAGGCGCCGGTTGTTGTGTCTACGGCGACGTCGTCTGAGAATTCCACGGCAGACTCACCGGACACGTTTTTTTCCGGTAACGGATGGATGAGTGCCGTGCGGCGTGTCTTTGCGTTGCATGGTGTTTGGAAGAGTTTTGTGTTTGGCATCATCTTCATTCGACTGCTGGTGATTCCCGCGGCGGGGTTTTCACTTGTGCTGCTGCTGCGGAGGACGGCCCCTTCATTGTTTGGGGAGAAGCGGGAGCAAAACGTTTTGATTCTCGTCCTGCTTGGCGAGTTGGCTGCCCCCACGGCAATCAACGGTACCATCCTCTTCAACTCCCGGCAGTACATGCCAGGCGTGTGGTCGAGGATGCTGTTTTTTCAGTACCTCATCTGCACACTGACGATTGTACTCTGGTGCAGCCTCTCGCTGTGGATCGTCACGTAAACACCGGGGGCGGGGGGTGGGGGGTGGGGGTCGGAAAGAAGGAAAGAAAGAAATTATGCAACGGATTGATGGAACCAACGAGAAACAAACAAAAGAAAATGAAAGGAAATATAAAAAAAAAAAAAAAAAAAAAAAGAGGGTCTGGGAGATTTGTAGAAGGGAGGAGGGAATGTTTATTTATGTGTGAGTGCATATGGAGGAGGAGGAGGAGGGAAATATTTATATTTATATTTATATTTATATTTATATATGTTTTTGTGTGCAAATTTATGCGGGATGAATTTCAATATTCACCGGCTTTCTTTTTTTTTTTTTCCCCCTTTTTTTTATTTTTCTTTCTTTTTGTGACGTCTGTGAATATTATTTGAGTACCAACACCATCAATTCACCTTTTTTTTTTTTTTTTTTCCCCCATTCCCTCCCTCTTTCATGTGTGGCAGCCGCAGCAGCGGCAGCGGCGGCGGCGGCAAGTCCTATTTGTACTGCCCCTCTTTTATTCCATGTGTATTTTTGTTCAACGACGCCTTTCTCTCTTTATATCCCTGTTTTACATTCATGGCATCGCATGTAATGTTGTTGCTGAGAAGGAAGTACGAGTCACATTTATATAAATTTTATTTAGGGCACACACACACAAGCAGGATAAACAAAAACAACAACAAAGGGGAAAAAAAAAGGAAAAAAAAAGGGTGAAAAAAAGACAACGACAAAAAGAGGAAAGAATAATTTAAGAGTAAAACGTTAAGTACTTGGCGTCACTCTGCCTTTCTGTGTGTGTGTGTGAGCACAGTTTTTTCCCTTTTTTTCTTTTTTTAGCTTGCTTGTACATATACATATATATATATAAATTATATTGTGTTATATATTATATTATACATACAGACATACACACGCACACACACTGGGTTGGGGTGGGGCGGGGGTAGACACACATACTTGCATAAAAGACACGTTCTTTTTTCTGACGACATGCTTGAAAAGTACTTGAGTGCTATTCTTGTGCCTTATTTCTCCAAATACGCGGAGAACATTGACTCAAAGCAACTCAACGTGGACCTCTGGAGCGGCAAGGCATCTCTGAATGACCTCATCCTGAGGCCAAGCATATTGGATGCACTGCTGCAAGGGGAATCTGGCAGCGATGTCCCTACCAGCAGCGGTGTCGCTTCAACTCCTTCCTGTTCTTCTTCTACTGCAGTTCATACGACTGCCGCGTCGACCGCGGTGAGTAGTTGCTTGCCGCTAACGTTGCAGCGTGGTGTATGTAAGAAAGTGAGCATTGTCGTCCCTTTCACGCAACTGCGCTCAAAGCCGGTGGTTGTGGAGGTGGATGAACTTTTTATTTGTGTTTGTGGTAGCACGGGAAGCCGGGATGCGGTGCTCAGTAAGGCCGCAAAACTTGATGCCCAGGCTGCGCATAAGGCACGTGAACTGGAACAGTTTGAAGCAGAACGAAGACGCATGCGGGATGTGGCAGCAGCAGCAGCGGCGGCCAAAGAAGGCGGTAACAATACCGCTGCAGCGTCTCCTTCTGGTCCTGCTGGTACTCGTAGCGGTCATGGTAGTGGCTTTATGGCCGATCCCGGGGATGGCGTTGCCCCGGCGCCGTCTTTACTGACTCCGTTAACAACGGGGAGGGACGGTTATTTCTCCCATCTCGGGGAACTTGTTGTTAACAACATCGTTGTGAAGGTGCGGAGTGTACATGTGCGATACGAGGATGAGTCGACCAAATCTGTTATGGGTGTTATCCTCGGTGGGGTAGAGTTTACAACAATCGACAGCATTACCGGAGAGGCAACGTTTATCGATCCTTCTGGCCTCTCACGCATGCATAAGCGGTTGGAGTTTAAGGGAATGCAGTTTTACTGCGATGATCCTCTTCGATATGAGAGGGAACCGGGGGATTATTTTATCTCGAAGATGACAGACGTGTCAGAGTGGCACGCAGCGATGCGGAATCGTGTGGAGGCGGGGGATATAGAAATGTCCACGGTTCTCGGTCCGGTCAAGGGCCACGTAGATGTGAACTTAGTGTTTAAGAAGTTCATAAAGAACCTCCTGCATGACCCATACTTAACAGCACGCATGAAATTAGGCCCCGTCACTGCGAAGTTTAACCGTGCGCAGTACGTATCACTCATGCGTACCGTATCTTTGTTAAGTAACTGGACAGGAGGAGTAGAGTTGTTTCCACGCCGACCCACCGCTCCCATCCTACAGGACCCTGCCGTGTGGTGGCGCTACGCCATTCGAGCAGTGAGGACCATCACAGGGGCACCACGCCGGGAGAGGCTGCTGCAACGCATTTCGGAAGTATGTATCGTCGACTATCATGTACTCTACCGCGATGTCGTGCGTAAGGCGGAGATGTCTGCCGATAAACAACGCGCATACCGCTTTATTACACGCTTTATGACTGTCCCCGATATGATTGCGGGGCGAAAATACGTCTACACACAGATCGCCAACGCCATTCAACTCAAGCGGAAGGACAATGAGGCTAAAAAGGCCGAAGCGCAATCAAACTTTGCCAAAAAGAATACGGGGCTGGTTTGCGGTGGCTGCGTCGTGGACCAAAGACACCACAGGACATAGAAGAAGAGGAAGCCGCCTTTGAGGAGCTGGAGCGATCGTACGGCATCAACCCGAATGACCCGGAGGGGGCAGAGACGACTATGGTGGATGTGTCCGCGCTGCCCAAATCATACTGCTGGCTGGATGCCCAGTTTGACCTCCCTATGTTTAGTCTGCGGCTGGACATGGGGAAGAGGGAGACTGTAACACTGATGCTGCATTCTGTTAGGACGCATCTTAGGAAATTCAACGCGGCCAACTCTGTGCAGCTTCGTTTCATCACCGAGAATCTGACGCTGTCAAACCCGGTGCAAGATAACGCTCTTCTGGAAAGACTTCCATCACTTGTGGAGGGTATCCCTCTCTCCTCTAGTGCGGCAAGCGCATGGAAAATAGATCCCACATCACGACGGTCATCCTCCATGTCGTCTTCTCTTCTGCCACTTTCGCCGAAGCAACAGGGCGGGGTGCCATTGCTGGAGTGCAGCGCCGCTTTTAACCCCATCGATGCCCAAAAAGAGCCGCAGCTCAAAAACACGCAATTGGACTTCGCATTGGATCTCCGTCTCCTGCCCCTTCGAATCGTGGCGGAGCCGTCCATCATTGATCACGTTATTTGTTTTTTTCAGTTTCCAAAGGGTCTGGATCTCGCGTCTATTGTGCGGAGCACCAAAAGCCTCGCTGCCACAGTTGGACAGGCGGCCTCTTCAGAGTTGCGTCGTGCCATGGCCCACTCGAAGAGCTTTAGTATTAGCGTGGACGCTGCGGCACCGTACATTATTGTGCCGAAAACGCTGCGGGGTTCTGTAGAGGAGCCGGCACTGGCTGTATCCCTTGGACACGTTCAGTTTGAAACTGAACCCCTCACCGAGACGGAGAAGCAAAGTCGCTTGGCGAGCACAACGACCCTTAGTGAAATGAATGAGGACCTGATGTACTATTCTAGTAGCGCTACGTTTTCAAACTTCTACGTGGAGATTGCCCCGATTGGGTTGTCATTGGAGAGGCCTGGTAAAGGCTTTATGCTTGTTCCCGAAGTCGCCTTTTCTGCCAAAGTCTTGCAAATTATTGACGACTCCATTGAAAATCGGGAAAGGTTTATTGTACGAATGGAGGTACCATCACTATGCATGGCGTGCTCTGTCAGTCAAGCCTACATCTTATCCAACATGGTGGAGAGTTGGTTGCTGTATCTTCAGGCGAATGATTCACCTTATGCCGACGAGCAGCTTCCCCCATCGCTGGAGGCCACGCTACGTGGCGGGGAAAGGGCATCCCAATCGGCTGTTGGTGGGCTGGAAGGGCCGCATGGCTTTACACACACGAACAACGCACTGATGCGCAACCGAAAAGGAGAAGAGTCGGAGTCCGATGACATCCCGGCTTCCCCATCGCCATTGGGAAGATCACGAGAGGACCTTCCTTATGTTCGTCTGCACTTAAAGGTCAAGGAGCTTGGCATTCTCATTTATGAAGACGAGCCCGAGACGCTGCAGCCGATGAAGACGCCTCGTTTCACAATGGCCTTCAGCACTGCCGAGGTGACTCTACACGTGCGTACGCTGCAGAAATGTGTAAGCATGATCCTTGAGCAGCCGTATTGCCGTGATGCAAAGGAACCGGATCAGCTGATTCTCAGTGCAACTGTGATCCGCTGCGGTGTGAAGACGGCGCCCGACACCCCTATCCGAGTGGATGTGGAGCTGGAGCCTTCACTGAGATTTTGTTTTGGCACACCCTGCATTCAACTTCTTGAGACGCTGATGGATATTGTGAACCTCGTCGGCGGGGCGCCACGTGTTTTAAAGGAAGGGGATGGGGAGGAGAAGGTGTTTTCTTCCCAACTGCTGCGACACTTCACAGGGTCTACGGCGCCTCGTGGGACTACCACCATCCGTCCCACGAGTCAGCATTCTCAGGTGAACCTCGTGGAGGAGCTGTGCAGTACATACGACACAAACGTGGTAAAACTTTCCCTGCACGTTGCCGGCACAACAGTGGTGGATATCATGGATCGACGCAGAAAGAAGAGGGTACCGCGGAAAGATGATAGTAACGCGGAGTCTGGGGAGGAAAAGAAAACGGCAGAAGAAAGGGTCGAAAATGAAAAGAACGACAAAGAAGAAGGGGAGAAGGAGGAGGAGGATTATCCTTTCGCCCACGCCTCCTTCACAGAGGTGACACTTTCTCTTACGAAGAATGGGGCGACGCTGGAGGTGAGTGGCGGGGTGGGGCAGGTTACTTTTGCCCTTGCAGAAGCCCACGACGTTGCCCCGGCGCATCGCACCATCGTGCAGTACAAGGCCTCTCCGTCACGGACCCCTCTCCGGCCGGCGTTGCAGCAGGATGGTCCCTTTCTGGACACACACCTCGTACGCCATGAATCGCATGAGCACATCAATTTTTCCTACCGCACTAGTCTT